TCACCTATCTGAGCAATTCACTGGCAGCATCTCACCCGGAGGTTGTGAAATCTCTGATCACTCTGGCTCACTCCCTGATGCCCAGCCAGTGTCTCACAGTTTGTGCGTGTGCTGGTGGGGTTTTCGTGGAAGCCACCAGGACTTTGTAGGTCTGGGTGAGGCCCTGGTGGATTTTGAGACTTCTGATATGGACAGTGCTGGCTGTGTCTGATCCACGCTTTAACTGGTGTGGCCTTGCAAAAGTCACAAGACATGTGCTGGTCTCTGAGGGAATCAGTGGCGTCCACAGAAAGTCAAGGGGTCTTTGAGGGCTGCTCAGGCTCCCTCCCCAATGGGCATCAGTGGCCTCCAAGATATCAATTTAATTATATTTATAGTAATTTTTTGTAAGTATTAACATAAGGACAAAAAAAAGGGTATACAAAAATTATGATGTTATATTTAATTTTAAGTTGCACTTTTATATATGTCTTTATTTATTCTTTTAAAGCACAAAAGAAGTTCTATGTATGCTTACGTATGCTCAGAAAATGTCCAAAATATTACACAAAGAAGTGATAATGTTGATAACTTCTGAACAGTTGGAAGAGAGGAGTAGATTGAATTTTCATTTTATATCACTTGGTGCTCTTTCTTTCTTTTGTCACAAGAATTACTTAATTTTATTTCTTTTTACTTTTGGCAGTGCCATACAACTCACTTTGGTTCATAAGGCAAATTCAACCATTCTGGATTTCTACAACTTACTCATTTTACAGATTAAGGGATGGGTCAGAAAAGTGAAAAAAACTATTTAGGCACACACATCCTGTAGCAGAAACAATTTGGGGACATCAGTTCTCTAGATTCATACAATATTTTTCCCGCTTCCCTTTACCTGTTCAGTTACATTGCCCATTCCTGTGAAATATAAGCACAAACATCAGTAATTCCAAACGTTCCAAGGGTGTTTCTGGAGTACATAATTCAGAATAATGGAAAGATTCTCACCCTACATTATTTGTCTATTGTCATAATCTTAAATAGATGATCACATTTTCAAGAATGAAAAGAGATGCAAATATATAAGCCATTGGAACTGGAACATAAATATGTATTCAGAGATAAGCTCTTCTTTTTCTCCCCTAGACATACTTTAATGATGTGATCTTTTTAACTTTCAAAAGATCAATAGCTGAGATTCCAGGTTTTAATCCTTCTATAACAATTCACATTAAGACCAACTGGGACCTGTGTAATGTCTCATGTGTTATAGAGTGTCTGTAGGGGAGAGTCAAGGGGAAATTAACAATAGCCTATAGACTTAGTAACCGCCCAAATGAACTGGCTGCTTCAAATTTGTGTTGGGAAACTTCAATCCTCTGATTCCAATGGTTTTCATAGGATCTTAACATTTCAGAGTCCTAAAGAACGTTAGTGATAACCTAATGCAAACATATTTTATAGATACAGGGAAATTAAGGTCAGAGAATAAAAGGATTTCCTAAAGCCATAGGTTAGTTTTTTGTTTTGTTTAAAGATCTGGAGTAGCAACTAAGAGGTTCACTTGGGTTTTCATGGATTAATTTACTCAGAGGATCTCAAAATGTGGTTCCTGAGTCATCAACATCTCTTGGGAGTTTATTAAAATTGCAAATGATGAATCAGAAATGTGGAGTTGGAGCCTAGAAATATGTGTTTTAACATCTTCAAGTTTGAGAATTTTCATTATTTGTGAATTATCATTTATTATAAATATGCTGTGGGTCAAACTCTGTTTTAGGTGTTCCAATGTATATCATTAATTGATCCCATTGAGGTGTGTAATTATTCCACTGAAGTTTGTCACTTATTTAATATGAAATAGTTGGTTTCTAAACTATGAAGTACTTTGCCCCAGATTATTTTTCTGCAGTCTTCCTTCTTTTGACCCTACCTTTGCTCCCATAACACTATTACCAGGGTACTAATAATTGCATATGACTGACGGTCAAAACTTGAGATCTGGTCTCTTCTTTCTTTTCTTTTTTTTTTTTTTTTTTTTTTTTTTTTTTTTTTTTTTGCTATTAACTAAACTCCAAATTTATTTGTATTTTGCTAATATTTTCCACCAATGTCATTTTTTGTTTCAGCATCTTTTCAGGGTATCCCATTACATTTGATTTTCATTTCTTCGTAAGTCTCCTCTGTTCTATGACAGTTTCTCAGTCTTTTCTGTTTTGGATTACCTTGACAGTTTTGGGGGTGCTGGTCAGGTGTTGGTTGGAATGTTCCTCAGTTTGGATTTTTTTGACAGGTTTCTTTGATTAGCCTGGGGCTATGGGTTTTTGAGAAGAAGACCACAGAGGTAAAGTTCTCTCTATCACATCATATCAGTGTTTATGCTGGCCACATGACATCACTCATTATGCTAACTTGCTCACCTAT